GTACACCTGCAATGATTATCCCTGCAGCACGTTTGCATGCTCACAACTGAACTCGCCCACACACTACAAATCGACTACAGCAGCAGCAGCATCACCCCCCTTGTCCCGCATTTCACGAAAATGAATGTTTGTCGACTACAGCGTACTGCTGTCTGAAGTGCTGTCTGAACAAAAACAACACCATGGTGCATGGTACACAAGCTCGGGGCATGCAGCTGCTGTCTGAAGTATTGTCAGAATGAGTCCGTCCGTAGACATACAATGAAGAAGAATACCCAACCAAAGCCATCACTGCAATTGACAACAATCACCCGAATCTATCCAGATCATCTGTGTTAGGCACAGCAGCAGCGTAAACATCGACACTGACTAGGAATCGTTCCACATTGTTGAAGGGTCTTCCACGATGCAAGTACACAATGAGGCACCCGGGTTATCCGCGCCATCTCTACCGCGTCTCTCTACAAAACCAGTGACGTTGTCACACACACCGGTCGCCCCGGTGGTCTAGTGGGCAGCCTCGCAGCCTACTAAGGACCAGGTCATGGGTTCGAGTCCCGGCAGAGTGAGTTTTTTTCTCACTAAATAAATCCTGGTCTAGGATGAAAGCGACGCGCAGCATAGAAAGATCGTTTGTTGTTATAGTAAACCATAATCGACTTCGTAAGTCGCGAGGGAAGGGATTGCTGTACCCTTCTCGCGATAAAAATACCTCAGGCATGAACCGCAGGAGGGGGTCCAACCCCCCCCTCCTATGTGACCCCGGTTGGGTCGTCTAGCTAGTAGAAGTGGAGGATAGGGGCCAGAGGGGCAGACGACAGAGTCCAGTGATGGGAGAAGAACAAACAAAAAACACCCAACACCAATATTCAGGAAAAAAACGGAGAAATAATTGACAACACAAGAGATGTTTGTCCGTGTGCCGTGGGTTCGATGCCGTCCGCCTGCTCCGGTGCCGCTGCTCCGGTGCCGCTGTGGCCAATCCTAGCACGACCAAACTCGACCCGCTCCGCTTCGTACACGCTCTCGTTGCTGTCCATCCCTGTCGGTTCCTCGCTTTCTCCCTCGTTGCACTTAGCGTTCTTGGTCTGGAAATTCTCGCGCCGAAGGATCAACCAACCCAATCAGCTCGTCACCACCTGTCCCCTCCTCCTTTAATGGCAAAACCAGGTTACTGAGACAGTACAGCTCCCTCTAGCAAACCTAGGGCCGTGTACATAGTGTCCGTCCACCTTTCTGATGACGTCTGCCTCCGCGCACAAAGATGAGATGGGCATTGCTGCCTACACCGACGGCCTGGAGGCCCGCGCATCTGCACCTTTGTACCTGACGCACCACCAGTGCCGACCCAACTCCACCACTACGCACGCCTCGCGGCGGGTGCGCCGCAGCAAGAAGGTATCGGCTCCTTGAGGGTGAGTCTAGCCCTGCTCGCTAGAAAGACCCCCCCCCTCGCTAAGGGTCATGCCTACGCAAAAAAACCTTGCCGAGGCAGCGAGGAGGGGAAGAAAGGGAGGGTGGGTCGCCGTAAACGCCTACTGAACCGCTGGCATCAGCTTTTAAGAAATCACACAACCATTTGGGCAGCTGTTCCCGCTCTTCTGACCATCCTACGCATCCTACGCCCTGCGCTCGCGATCCGGTCCATCTCACGTCCGCGCAAGCGCAAGCTGGTGGAGGAATTTCTCCTTGGAACTTCCCAGGTGCTTGATTATGCAGCTCAATCCCACAGCCGTCCACCTCGGGTACAGCAGCTGTGGGGCCATGAATTCAACGGGGTTATGTAGACTAGAGGATGGATATACCGTTCGCGAGCGGGACCATCAATCAGGAGATACCCAACGATCGTTGCGCCCCTTGCCGGCTGTAGGCGCCATCCGCAACTGATGCGCATACGCCCGGCGCAGCTGAAAAAATGAGATTTTTCAAAACCGTTTTTTTTGTTGTTTTCAGAACCACCGAAAGAACGCCTAAAAGACAGTTGTTGTTGTTGTTGTTGTTGTTGACTTCACATTAAACCGTATGCCAGTTGCTAAATGCCAAAATCTAGCAAAGACTCTCGGCCCGTGGTCACGAAAGTGCTGGAGCCATCTGAGGATCTAAAGAACACGCACACGTAGCAAGAAAAAGGTGTACAAGAGCCCGAAGAGGTACTACTACACCTATATATAATCCCTGCAGCACCGTACGCGTGCCCAAAACTGAACTACACGTCCGTCTCACCGTTCGACTACAGCAACATCACCCCCTACCTGTCCCACTCTGTACCAAAACGAATGATTGCCGACTACAGCATACTTGCTGTCTGAAGTGCTGTCTGTACAAAAACACCATGGTAGGCATGGAACAAGAAGCTGGCGGGGCACAAAGCTGCTGTCTGAAGTGCTGTCAGAATGTGTCTGCGGACGTACAGTGAAAAAGAACAACCAACCAAAGCCATGATTGCAATGGACAATCACCCGAACCTCTCCCGATCGTCTGTGTTAGGCACGCAGTGAAAATATCGACAATAGCTAAGAATCGTTCCACATTGAAGGGGTCTTCCACGATCAGGCACATAACCAAGGCACCCGGGTTAGCCACGCCATCTCTGACGGGTCTCTCTACAAAACCAGTGACGACGTCATCACATAGAACCAACACCGAAAATCAGGAAAAAAACGAGAAAAATTGACAACACAGATCAGATATAAATGTTTGTCGGTGCGCCACGGGTCGATGTCGCCCGCATGCTCCGGTGTCGCTGCTCCGTCCGGCGCCGCTGAAGTCAGCTCGAGCATAACGCCACTCGACCTGCTCCTTCCGTACACGCTCCCGTTGCTG